TGGCTCGGAGGAGGAGCCCTTGCTTGACGGAGTATGGAAATTTTGACGGCTGCCGTTCACACCCAAAAAGGAGATAACATGTTTATAGGTCATGGAACTGTACAACCCTAAACTTACCTTGCTTGAAGGGGTAGACAACTTGAGGGTAATTGGATCCACAATCAAAGTGTCGTCGGCGGCGGAAGATGTGGAGTCCGCAAAGGTCAGCGGTGGAAGGAAAGGTCGAACCACCTTGGGCGTTTTGAAGATGTGGCGGGCAAAGATGTCACCCAGACCCGGTTGGTTGAGTAGACTGAACCAAAGTCGCTTTACCGGCAAGGAGAACGGATCGCGCGTCCTTGAGAGCAGAGGGGAAGGGGTTTGATTAGTGAAGAGTTCAGATGCAAGCTTTAGATTAACTCATAGTACTTCTAGGATGCAGAAGAATTTATCTTCAGTAACATTAACCTATTGACACTTCGAACATCTGGGTCAGTCAAGGATGGCTGATTAGCACGTGACACAATAGAGGCAAGTTATCTACTTAATGGCCAAAAAATCGACGGTATCGATTCATCGTAAGACCGTCCAATGGCAAGCCTCACAGCCCAAGTGTCTTACGTAATTAGCGGTTGAAGGTTTAAAGTTTGATAAATGCGTGGTTAATTCGTGATAAATGCAAAATACGAAATAAATTAAAACCACTTGTAATTTTTTTTACAGAGGGTTGCGCAAAGGACAAAATAAGAGTCAAAAGACAGCCAACAGACCAAGAAAACTAGTAGAACAATTCCTACTGGTCAACCAATCAAAGTACTGTTTAGATGGGCGGAAATTCGATCTACTAAACATTTGCAAGTAGTTTTTTTTTACTATTAATACCTTCCCTCAGACAGCCCTACTGTGAATCCCTACCAAATCAATGTCTCGACACAATCAAAAGACCTACTGATTGTGTGCGGTCGGCAAATCGGTTGCAATGAAGCCGACTTCTATTACGTCGCGAAAGATTAACAAAATCAGCGGAGTCCTCTGCGTGCATATGAGAGCTGGTAATGTCCATCCCCCAACTCAAGTAGGATAATATTACCAAATCTTGGACTACTGAAGAACGATCTTTCCAAGTCGGTTTTATTTTGGTCTGCCGGGCCTTTTACGGGTACCCCTGCAAGGATAAGGGCAAACATGGTAGTGAAGCTGATAAGGGGGGACTTAAAAACCGGCTCAGTCGACTCTATGATAAGACAGTTCAGAGACTACAACGACAATATGGTGACCAAAAAAGAGGACAGTGAAACAAAGACATAAGCTAACATATGACAAAATAGCCATCCACTAAGTCGTTCCACGAAACCGTTGCCTGGTGGCTTACCACGACCGCAAAACCGCCTAATAGAATTGTTATCACGTTGTTCTGATCACTTGTCCCACGGTGCACTATCGATCGGCACAGACCGCTCGTGTGATGAGATCGCACAAACTGCCGGGCGAGACGATTA